ATGAAAAGTGTCCTTGAACTTAATGTAAATTATTAATTTATAATTTAAGAATATAACTTTGTCATTTTATTTAGTAATAATAACGTTATATGAATATCACCTCTAACATTAATGCTGTCCATATTTATATCATATGTACTCGTTCATAAACATAATTGTACCTATTACATCAATATTACAAATCTAGATCGCAAATAACGACACGTGAAAGAACGTATACATTTTGCTTTTACACGTAATCCGATTTCTAAAAATGCAAACAAATACAATTTCAACATCAATGCTTAAATCATGCAATTAATTAAATAATAATTTATAAGATATCTTATACCAATAGTAATTATAAAGATACAAGTTCTATTGTTAGTCAAAAGCCTATCAATGAAGTACTTGTGAATTATAATAAGTTTGCAATAGCTTATTTTTAATAAATCTTTACATAAGAATTCAATTAATATTTTATTCCAACTTTATTATTCATATTACATCATCTTAAGTGAATATGTGCTCCATCAAAATAACATAAAATAGGTAGGACTTTGATAACGAAATTTCAGCCTCCAAATAGTCCTATTAAAAATTTTTAATAAACAAATTAATATTTCATATTGAATGGAAGAATAGGCAATTCAATTAAGGTGTGACTTACGATCCTATAGATTTCACATGTATAATATAACTAATTTTCTTTTCAATCGAACGTCTTCAATTGAAACGCTTATTTTATATGAAGATAAATATATGATTCCAGATTAAAATGATAAGTTACGTCAATTTGTAATATGCGATTGGCTCAGTCTCACCCAATAAGAAATTTAGAAAGCTGGCGTTAAAAAGCATTAAGCACTACGACTTCAAGGTACACTAACAGGTCCATTGGTGCAATCGAATGAAAAAAAAATTGAATCGTTAGGAGTCCGCAGCAGTATCATCGATCAGGAATAATGAAAATCAGGAACTCGTGCGTGCGCATTTTCATAGAATACCGTTAAATTTACCGCGCACGACATTTGCCCTTTCACGCGATGAAGTCACATATCCGAAGTCCACTTCCGGATGTTGCCAGTACAATCCAGTAGCGATTTCCGGCAGATACTTACTCGCACGAATATCCGCATGCGACACTCTTAATTTTTCTCCTTTTATGTGTATTCACGTTTTATTTACTGTATTAAGTTATTGTTGTACGTTATTCGCTTCAACTCCCGTATTATTAATTAATTTGTTTAGAATCATGGTCTTCAATTTGTTTATTTTTTGTGGATATTTTGTGAATGATTTATTGAACGAGAACAATCTATTATCATTTTTAATCGTACTACATCGTAACCAAGCACATTATGGCATTCGTTGTTGATTTCGTTCATTATACGTTACCATATATAGTATGTCTGAACTAACATTTGAATTGCCTTTCGCTCTTTTAATCTTATCCGTGCAGTATATAATATTTATAATTTATCGATATTTTCTCTTTATTAAAATATTAATTAAAGCCTAATTATATATTCTTTTATTTCATACAAAATATATAGTTATAAATTGCACATATATGTTATACAACTTTTAATTATTAAAAAGAAGAAATTAATGTATTGAAATTTTAATATTAATTTAAATTACGGAACAAAGACAACTTTTTAAATACATAATATTACCAAGACAATTAAACATAAAAAATATTTATAAAAAGAATTCATGACTGTAAATAGATTTCGTAAGATGTATTCATTGTATAAGTACTTTAATTTTTTCTATTAGCAACTTTAAAATAAACGTTATTTCTTTAAAAGTATTTTATTACATTCATGTTTTCATTTTTATATTAAAATCCATAAAATAATTTAAACCAATAAAAATATCAGTCTTGTTAACAAGATATTTATTATATAATTGTATAAACATCCTATAATAAAAATACATCATTAAACACATATAAATAATTTATGAATTCAATATAATATGCTGAATTTATCTTGTTTAACCAATGTATTATATTATATATGCACTTAAAAATACAGACACTTAATTAGTTTAAATTTATTTTGATAAAAAAATTCTTTATTTCCATCATTCTTTTATACTATTGTGCCTTTTATACTTTAATACGTTTTTTTATACTTATACTATCTATATACAATAGTGAAATTTTTTCTTATTCCATTAAAATGAAGAAAAAAATTTCTCGTAGGTCATTAAGCACTAGAATACGTATTAGAATATTTAATTATATAAATAATGAAAATATAACAAAATAATGTTATTATAACAATTTTTTTCACTATCTATGCAGTTTGATAGTATTATAAAAATAGAATTGTCGGTGAATATTAATTTCATTTAATACATTGTATTTTTTAATTAATTAAAATTATAATTGTAATATTTAATTGTGTTTTGAAAAATATTTATAAAATATATAATAATAATATGAAGCATTCATAAATTACTATCTAAGCATTAGCAGTAATAAATTTTAAAAAAAAGAGCAAATAATAAAACGTAAAATAAATATAACTCAACTCACTATTATATGAATATCGTTTTTACTATCACTATGAAAATATTTAAAATTATTCTCTTGTATATGAAAAACCTGTATGCATCTTCTAGATCTTATCTCTCTCTCTCTCTCTCTCTCTCTCTCTCTCTCTCTCTCTCTCTCTCTCTCTCGCCCTTACATCTTATTATTTCTTTTCTCTCTTAGACTAAATTGCTTAATATTTCACTTGGCTAAATGTGGATAGCCTTTCATTAGTATTAAAAACTAGTTTTTTAACTCTTTTGAGTTCATGTACAATTTAGACAAAATCAAAACAGACAACCGCGATATGATAGAAATTGGTTTGTTTATTTTTATACTAATATACTCTATTTCCTATTGAATTTAATGATTAACATGTTTTATGCAATATTTTTGTGTTTTCATTTGAATTCATTGTTTATTATAATTCAAGGTAGACTTTGAAAATGATTTTATATGTACTCACTATAATTTATGACTTGAACATAATTACTTCCAGGTCAAAGAACTTGCTTTTATTATGATATTTAGTAACAACTTACTCGTATCTGTTCTCACGGAAATACTTATTGTTATGAAATTATAACGTTTGCGTACCGTAAGCTTGTTTGATCAATAATTTAATTAGATAAGTTGGCTAAAATAACGTACCACTAACTTTTTAAAAATTTTAATTACCAAAATTCAATCATTAAGGAATCATAATTTTCTGATTAACATCTGTAATTCTGATCAACATTTGTAATATTTAGAAACTTTGTAGATCAATTATCATCAGGGTTACTTGTAAACAGAATATTATTTACAGTTATACTTTTTAATTATACATAATAATAATTTACAATATTTCTTTTATGAAATAACCTCCTTGCAGCATAATAAATCTACATTTTATTTAAATTTATATGTCTTTATTAATAATAGATATAATTATAAAGTATAATAAAAAAAATTAATTTCAATAAAAGACAAAGAAATTCAAGTTTGCTAACTATATGAATAATGTTATTTTGAATTAGAAATACATCACCTTTGGTATTCGGAGTAGACATAGACTAGAATCAGTCATAATTAAGAACTTTGATTTACATTAATAGATGTTCTTGTATAAAAAGCTTTCATCGAATACATTTCATTTGTTTAAAAAAAATATTAAATTTGTAAAATACTCGTTACAATTGTACCATAATAAAATTTCTTAAATAATTCCTCAATATCCTATCTATAATAATCCTCAATTTCTAAATATTTAATTTGAATGACAGTTTAATATTTTTAAAACAATAATATAAAAATGATATATTTTGATTATGTTTAAGGTACAGAACTGAATTTTTAAAATTATTTTAAATAATTTTATGTATATTTGATAATATAATAACGTATATTTATAATAAAATATAATAAAGTATAGTTCAAAAACTGATTCAAATAATAAGAAAACTATTTAAATGTATCTGGGCACGTAAATTTATAATTCATATCGATTAATTTATTCACATAAAGATGCACATGAATATGAGTAAAAAACTAAAGTACTACATTATACAACAGTTATATTGTCTTAAACTTTAACGATGATACAATGACAATAACTATAATCCTTTAAGTAATCAAACAGTATACTTCTTGGAAAATGACCGTTACTTCCGGACTATTCATATATATAAATGCGTTTGTGTATGTGTGTGTATGTGTGTGCGTGCGTGTGCGCGCGCGCGCGCGCGTGTGTGTGCGTGTGTTTACTTTATAATATAATCTATATAATAGTTGTATTGACCAAAAAGAGGAAGAAAATTATCTAAGAAATTCCATTACACAATTTTGTCGTTAGTAATTGTCGAAATTAAAGCTTAGTTAACGATTTCATATTTGTAATATATATAACTAGTACTATAATCTTTTTATGTTAACTTTTTTAATTTAATTTGTTTGCTCCGAATGACTTAAAAACTTTTACGTTATAAGAATAAAGATATAGTCGATGATATGATGATGAAATGATGATATATTTCTATATCACAAAATACTGCTGCTACAAACGATATTTGAACGGTGGGAGTACCTTATTACTATCTCACAGGAATCTCATACCCCTCTGCCCTTTTATCAATTACCTTACTGTAATAAAATTGAAAATAGTCTTTTTAGTAGCATACACCGATATTGTATCTTTAATAAAACGATCCAGAAAAAGCATAAATAAAGAACTATTTCCGCAGATTACTTTGTCTCACTATATTATAGATTGTGAAATCTGTGAATACAATCGATAAGTTCTTGTTAATGGCACTGATATAAAAATCTTAGATTCGCGTAATTAACTTGCAATTGGTAATTTGAACAAATATGAGAATACTCATATTATTTTGTTTAATGCCCGCATTTAAAATATTTTAAAACAAATGCTATCTAAGATACTAAACATGTTTAAAAGAAAGTGAGAAAATAATTTAGCAGGTAATGCGTAGCTTACTAAGAGTGGCAGATGGTCGAACACGTAGGAGACAAAGAGTATGCTATAGATGGTGGACCACCCGCTAGCCTCGTCCACCGCGAGCCTCCTCTTCTTCAGGCAGGCCCTGCTGTTGGTGGAGTCGCTGGTACAGGAGCCGCTCGAGGGCTCCCAGTGTTGATGGTGTTGGCACTCGAAGGCACCCGAGGAGTTCTTTGAGCTGGCCTCGGATTGCGGCGACGACCGACATGTGACCCGAAATAGCGCAGTCAGGAGGCTGAAGACCAATTACGCGTTCGATGGATTTACATAGACAATTTTTAATAATTTGCGTGTGGGAAGTGCTAGGGGAACGAATAGTATTTCAGATATTAACGAGGTGTCAAAAGATTAGGTGGACTAAAGCAGCTGACGTTATTACGAATACATTGAAAAAAATATTTTTCGGCGGAATAATGTTGTTTGTTTATGAAATCAACGCCAATTTTTAGAATTATTAGATAGTATTATTGTCATGTATTTAAAAAATATATTGAGAATCAAGGAGATAGTAGGTTTTCATAGAATACGAATTCGCGAGGTACCAGTATAGAAAGACTGCGTGATTTAGTTCTTACTAATTACCTCAATATTGTTGTTGTCATCAGCAGACTTCTCAAGCCATTAAAAAACAAGCTATACTTAGGTGAAATTTCATTAGCAAGGAAAACGCAGCCTTCGGGCTCGAAATTTAAGATCCCGGTGACGCCGATACAAGCGCTGATCACAGTTAGACTGACCAAGTGATACTTAATATGATGCTTTTTAATGGTAGGTCCCTCGTCATGAACCGTTAAAGCAGCGAAAATGGCGATCGAAGTTAGAGTGAGCTCCTGGAGAATACTGGACGAATTGAGAATCCAAACAAGACTTGAACAAAATTCTGCAAGTAATGTTTTTTTTTTTATTATTCCTTTAAAAATGCTGATGTAAATCAGTAAGGCAGTATAAATTTATGATAAATGATCTATAAAATATCACATAAAAGTTCAACTTATACAGTAATTTTTATTACACTTTTCGAATAATTAAAAGTTTAGTAATCCGATTTCTGAATATTTTATCATTAATCCGCAATGTTGAAATGAATACACCACTCTTATTTAAGTATGTTTGTATATTTTCATTTTAATATTTGTGAAAGTAATATAGTTCAAAAATATTTATAAGTAAACGATTGATTTAATATTTGTTAAAATGCGTTGTAAATTTAATTAAAAAAAAGACTAATTAGTCTAAAATAAAAGAAATTATGATATTATGAGGAAATAATAATTATTGGTTATTTCTGAGTCTTAAAAATAGCATAAAAATCTGATAGTTACAAAGAAATTATCGATTGATAACTTGAAAATACAGTAGCTATAAATTTCACTTTTGTCGATCATTGAATATGAATAGTTTCATAGTCTTATACTATGTATTTGATAAGTATTACATTTAACCTTAAATTGTATCAAATGAGGTGAGCTCAATGAGCTCGTAAGTTTAATGTACAGATTGTAGGAATTGCGTTTCATTATCAATTCTCTTTATTCGATATTTAAATTCTTGAAGATTACAAAATCTGATAATATCTACTAATAGTATATTGGCTGTATTCGTAAAACTGCTACTATATATATAGCATAAATTTTAAAATCACAAATCTTAAAAGGGAACTTATAAAGCAATTCATAGCTCAGCTCTTTAGTATATTTAATGATACAAACCCTGTATTTAATTAATGTAATTACAAGTAGATAAGTTACTAATCGCACTTTTTTCATTAATTGCTTATTTTACTTAGTAAGTCTTATCTTTGCCAATAATTAATCAAACTATCAATCTTGAAACACTAGCACGCATTTTACATCGTTTTAAATAGCTGATTACCACCTTTCAGGGTTTAATATCTTTGCCCGATTTACAATAAAACTTTTTACCGATCATTCAATTTTCTTACCAATTTAAAAGATTATTAACATTTAAACATATTTCAATTAAAATTAATAATGTTTTTCAATTTTACAAAGATTTTACGAGCGTCATCATGTAGAGGCTCAGGGCATGCAAAAAATATGCAATTATTAAATGGCATTGCTGTCTCATTATCTGAGAATGAAAACAGATCCTCGTGGATGGTCAACGCAGTTTTACACACAATAGCATGTTTGCATAAGTAATTACAATTCTGCCAATCATATATAGATTGTAAACATTGCCAGCCTCGTTAGAATCAGTGTCAATGTCGTGGGATGTGGTTGGCTCGTACGATCGACGCAATTAAAGCAAACCTGATTAGTCTCACCTCCAAAGTGATTCGCTGGATGGATAAGGGTGAGGATCGCATAGAGCAGGAGACCCAACTGATGCGTAAGGCTCTGAGCGAGTATGGCCACTGTAAGGACATCGATGCGCCGCTTAGAGACCTCCGGTTGATTCTGGTAAATGAGTAGCGACCAGGACAGCAGGAGGACACAGATCGGCGAGCCGACACATGTCGCCAACCACTCGCCCACCTCGCTCCTCATGCCTGCAACACGTCACGAAAACAGAGACTCCCTTTAAATTACGCAACCAACTTTAGAAAGGAAGACGCGCGTGGGGAAGGCCACAATTTGCAATATTGAGAGAGGGAGGGGAGGTAAGCGACGAGGGTAAAGGACACATCAGATTGCAAACGCCGTCGGAAACTTCGGTCCATTAAGACAGTTTTCACTCAGACGAGCAACGGATATTTTCTTATTTCTTCCTTTTATCTGTACACTTTCATGACGTGTCTCGGCTTTTCCCGTTCGAAATTCATAATTCTAAATTGCCATCAACAGTGTTAAGCAACTTTTTTTTTTTATACTATACTCACCATTTATTTGAAGCTTATTTTATACTTTATGTACTTGTTATTAATTTATTTCCACCAATTAATAATTGTAATATATGAAAAATATTCATATATATTTACAATCAAATTGCCAATAATTTAACACGATGTTTTGTTAAAACCAATTCTGGCGAAAATATCAATTTTATCTACGGTATCAATTAAATTAATAAAATAATCTATCATTAAGTAATATTTAGGTAAATAGCAAATGTGAATAATGTAAACTTTGTAATATGTATGTATTTTTAAAACAAACAAAATATTATCATTTTAATCCAAGTATCCATACATGAAATTGTAAAATGTACCTGTAAAGCAATTACAGTACACTAATCTTGAAACACGTTTGTATCTGCCTTTTTTATTCTATTTATCAAATACATTTCCAACTTTTCGGTTAAATAAGATTTTATTGATATTTTGCTAAATAATTCATGTAGTATGAAAATTTAGCAAGTAAAAAACAATTTGAAGTCTATTAAAGTATAGAATATTTTCAATACACATTAAATAAAATATATCAATTCGAGCTTATTCAATAATAAATTATAATATTTAAATCACATAACATATACTTTTGCAAAAAATTATATAAATAATATCTATAAAAAATCTATACAATAAGTATATAAGGCCTCTCATATTTACTAAATATTTCATAAGAACGTGTATATAATATTTAATGTTAACTAAAACGTAAACTTATGGATAAATAGAATTTTCAACTAGTTTTGCGGTCACGTCTAAAAATAAATAAAACTACAAATGTCTATATTTTTAAAAGGATAGCAATTGTTATTTTTTTTATTACCAATTATCAGACTAAACTATATTTATATTAAATGTATTGCTATAATAAGTTTTATATTTTTACGTTGAAATTTTCACGATTAATCGTAATAAAATTGTAAAAATTAAGAAAAAAATCCTTAACTGAGTTGGATCGATGAACGTTAACGAATCGAATTATAGAATTTGTATACGTTCGTGAACGATAGAAATATAAGTCAATTAGTATTCGAGAAATATTGGCATTGCAACCCGATCAAATTGATCAATATTCATTATTGTAAATCGACAAATGAAATGAAAAATCCGATAGAATTTTTTAAAACTTTTGTTGTGATTACAAAATAGTTAAGAATCAAAGATATTTAGATTCGCGCCAAACGATATATTATTTCTTTTAATTTTCTTACATGTAATAAGATAAAAATTGTTATTACTTGTACATTTACATAATGATATCTGATAATAACTTTTTACAAATGATTTTCATATTACCATTATACCAGTTATTAGTTATTATAGTCAAACTTAATGAAACTATTTCAAAATTTATAAAAATCTATAAATGATTCATCGTAAAAGTTAATATATTAATACCTTGAATTACGTACAATAAGAAAAGAATTTTATTCTTATAAAATGTTCTATACTGATACTTGTTCAACATTTATGTTAAACTGTTTATTTTTGTTATTATAATAAGAAATATATATTCTTATATGTATTATTCTTACTTCAACACTTCGAATATATTATATCTTGAAAATACCGTTTATAATAATATTGAAATATAAATTTAAATAACTAATTATTCGTCTTTGTAATGCAATACATGAAAATTTGATTATATACTCTATACTAAGAATAAAATCATAACAAAAAGGAATTATTATTTAAACATGTATTTTTGGTGATAAAAAACTAATATTCATAGATACAAATAAAGTACTTATACTAATAGTATAAGTAATAAATTGTACTAATATTTTTATAGATGAATATAATTCATACATTGATTATATATTTAATTTACGTGTAATTTAAACTCGTCCTATATTTTATACAAGACTGCATAGAAATGTACAAGCCGATTTTTAATAACAATTTACAGAATACGTAAAACAATAAATTTTCAGTTTCTCTCAAAAATATATAATTTCAACAGTTATATCATTTTTATTCTGAATTTGATGCCTTATTAAAATTATTGCTTGCGTAAAGAATGAAATAGGAGAAATATTGACAGACAGAGAAAAATAAATGCCTTTTTGTATTCAACATTGATCACCCAGCATTATTATTAAATATTAAAACTCAAAGCTCTGATTAATTTAATTATAAAACTCAGCAACACTTACTTAAAATTTTCAAATTGTGAGAGAGAAAACTTGCTTAAAATGATGCTTGCAGCTTACATACAAAGCAACATCATTTCCAAGACTTAACTTAAGGAAAGCCGAAAAAAAAGAATTCAAGTTAAAATCCCGTCCTCATTCATACGCCATTATATGCATTAAATAATTGTTCTTACTTTTTTTCAGTTTGAAAAAGAATAGCCGAGGATACTTACAAAATAAAATCATTACAATGATGCAGACTTAATAGTTAAGATATAAGAAATATGTTGAGAAAGATTCATAAATTAATGCGAAGCTTCGAAACTTGGACATTTAAAATAATATGTAAATAATAATATTGAAAAATATGTAATAATATGTGAAAATACTGCACAACCATTTTTTACACTTACTATGATTCATTATGTATAATTTCAAAGGCTTAATTTAGCAACGAATTTTTATGTACATACTTTCAGTTATATTTGAGCTTTGGTTTATTAACTCATGAACACACAGTTACTTTAAATCATAAATTACAAAATAAATACTTTAATCATAATTATTAAAATTTTCGCCAACCTATCTATAATTTTATATGAATTTTATCAATTTTGTATATATATATATATATATATATATATATATATATATTAGTTATAATGCACACTAAATATGTTCTCCTTATAGTTTTTTAATATAATTTCATCATTTTTATTAGCATTACAAGTGATACGTAATAATTTATTATTTGTACTTAGAATTTACATCTAACTTAAATCTATTATTTACATTAGACACAGCCAAAGAACTTAATCTTAATCAAAATCGCTACTAACACAAGTAACACTAACTTCTGCGTAAACTTGTAACGAGTCTTTCAAGAAAATATTGCGTGACCTCTTACAGTACATCAAGCTTCAAAAGAACATTCAAACGCTTCATTCGGTGTTTCGTATACTCGAGCTTCCCGCAAAGACATTCATCAATCTTCCGAAGGCATCACTTCTGCTCCCATTGGAAAATTCTTTCAAAGAGCTTTCGCACTTGCCTGTAAAAGCAAACAAGAGACGACACGTGTGCAAAAACTCAAGAACAATTTTCCAGCGTGTCATTTATAAGACATGACCGCGTATCCTGCAAGGGACTCGCCGCTTCTGGAATGAGGAAGTGGTCACGATAAAAAGGTATACGCGTGTAGAAATTTATGATTACGGAACGGAAGATTTCGTCGGCGGAAGTCGTGGCTCAATACGAATTTATTGACAGTATGGCCTATTTATGATAAAAGCTATGATTTCGCAAATTGATTAGTTCAATCCTCGAAAAGCCAAGCAGACCTATAAAATTATTGGCGAGGCGCTTTATAATGTGATACTCGCTTCCCATGACATAACTCGGTTAATCCAATCAAATTAATTACTATTGATCTCGTCCTATTTAACAACGGTCGATAATGAAGATACGAAGATAATATGAATGAATGCAATTTGCTGAAAGCTAATCATTAAATTAAAGGTTGTATCGATGATCGAATTGAAGGCTTTAAGAATATTACTCATTACTTTTATTATTGATGTTATATACCAATATTCGACATAGCTAAAAAAAAATGTTATGTAGACAACAAATTTTCTACATTGTAAGTAATCCTTATATAATATAAAAATTCATCTTGCAGTTGATTTTGAAGAAAGAGTAGTTCATTGAATTCTATTTTATTATTTATTACTAAATTATTCCAAACAGACATTTCAAATTAGTTTCCATATCCTCGAAATTAAGAAAACGAGGAGTTTTTTTTTAAATTTAAATATAAAGTAATAGCATATTAATTCATTACATTCAATATACTAAACGTAAATTATAATAATGATAACATATACTTTTTATCGGATTTTAAGTAAATTAAGTATAAATAATTTTTACACATATTATTTTAATTTAGAAATACCTTGTATCTCATTGCTTTTTATTTTCCTTATTTTTCATTCCCCATCGCAACTTTAGTCAAATATTTTCAATACTTCTTTTTAATTTGCACCGACTTTTTAGAATTTCCTTCACTCGAAATGCATATACTGATAGTAAAATATATAGCATAATTTTTCACTGAACCTCCGTTTTTTAACATTCACATTTATATATATCATTAAACTACTAGAAATGTATATCAACTATTTAGATAAGTAAAATTGTGGACGCATAAGGTTATTAAATAATATTATAATTGTCTCTTTATAAAATATATTAAATTACAAGTCACAATTTATGTACGAATATTTACAAATATACTATTTTATTATAAAGATAAATTTTAATCCTTGAATTAAATTTGATATATTTAAGATGATGATTATAAGATAAATATATTTGTTAATTTATCGTCAAGAGCCCTTATAAAAATGTAAAATACGTAATTAGAAAATTATTTTAATAGCGAATTTATCACAGCGCCAAAATTAGCATTGCTAAAACTTAGTTCAGGATTGAAAAATCTATATTGCCTATTTATAACTTA